TTCTTGTAAATTTTTTAGTTGTTTTTTTTTTTTGCTTATTTGTGCTGTTTTTTTATTTTCTTTTGTCGCTTCAAGTGTTTTCGTTTGACAAGCTTTGCGCTGACGGAGTTGCATTTTTGCAAGTTTTACTATTATATTTGTTATGATATATAGCACACACACACACACACGCACACACACACACACACATATATATATATATATATATATATATATGATAGAATAAAAACAAAGGCTTATAAATTTAACAGGTTTTGCTTTTGTTTTATTTTCATCCGCTTTTTTTTTTAAATTGACAAAAGTTTCTGTTGAAGCTTAAATAAAAGTGAAACATGTTAAATCTATCAACGTTTTCTATTTGTTCCTTATTCTATCATTCTGTCAGATTTAATCAATATTTGATCCCAATTCATATATATATATATATATATATATATATATATATATATATATATATATATATATATATATATATATCCAAATGAGGGAAAGAACAAATGGAGTAAAAATCCACCGTTCGTGGCATTTATTTCTAAAAAAACATGCTCAATATTATTATTACTATAAGAGTTTATAATAAAAACATTTTGAAATCGTTACACAAAAGCTTTCACGTTTCAATACTATGATTGTACTTCTTCAGGCGATGGTAAGTAACTGGTGATTAAATGATTTTATTCTACTTACTATCGCCTGAAGAAGTACAATGAAAGCATTGAAACATTAAAGCTTTTGTGTAGCAATTTAAAAATTTTTTTATTATAATCTTTTATATATATATATGAGGGAGAGTTTATGAATTTAATTTCTCTCTCCCTCTCTCTCTCTCTCTCTATATATATATATATATATGGGAGAGAGTAAAAGTTTAATATCTATGAACAAACCCGTCGCTAAATGGGGATGACCCAACCCTCTCCGAAAGTTGTTCATATCCCTGTGAAAGTTATGTGAACCAATTCTTACAACATAAAACTTGCAATAAATGCATTTACAACGCTTGATACTATTTAAACTTCACATCGTAGATATTGGTTAAGAAAGAAATCTTCTATGTAAATCATTCCCCCCCCCCCGAAAAAAAAAAAAAACAAGGGTTCTTTTCATTTCGTACTTTTTCTAATCTGGGAACCAGTCGCCGTTACCCCACATTGAATTCTAGAATACCCGTAAATACATAAGCTAGAATAAAGTTTTAATCGCCCCCACACCTGACTTATAAAAAAAAGAAGCTACGTACATCAGCTCAAAACACTATTGGCGATGGGACTGTTTATGAAGAGGGTATTAATTTATTTATTTATTTTCTTTTTTTTTGTAAATAAAGAAAAATTGTGTAAATATTTTGTTTGAAATCAATCACTCGCCATAGTTTATTGCACGTTTTAAAAATAAATCTCTTTAAAATATAATATGGAGTCGACAAAAAAATACATTTTTAAATGACATGACTCTAGTTCCTATTTCCGATTCGATTTTTAACCTGACATAATGGTTGCACTCACGTAACCCACATAACCTGTGCAGGTTCCGGCCAGCCCGCACGCATGCGCATACATGACACGTAAAAACACGTGTGTAACCGCGCACCCTGAGTGTCTTTCAGGCTTCTCACACCCGCAAAGTGGCCACGCGAATAAACATCAACATCCGTCCGTTAAAAAAGCAGACAGGTTCGATATTGAGATGTAAATAAATAAATTGTAAGATTAAAAATTTACTTCCGTCAAGAGATGCGAAAAAAAAAAAATTCGTTTGTATCTAGATTTTTGTGATGAGGACTTATCATTTTTTCGTACTATTCACCACATTGTCACCAGGCCTTCATCAGGTGGAATTTCAAACTGAACTCTTCCTTTTATTTAATCTATTAAAAATGTTCTCGTTCTGCTAACCATGTATTTCGTCTCTAGTTCATATTTCAGAACAGCTTCTTAGTTATTGCTTGTCCTGTCTCTACCGATTTCAAATAAACATTGCGGATTGCCCGGCCCAGGGATTAAACTCACAATCACCATGTTTTCAAATTAACAAACCAATGTGGGACAATAGTGGATAAAAAAAGCGTTAGCTCCTGGATTTAACTCCGTAGATTAAATAAAGTGTTCACTTCAGTTCCTTGTGGGGACGTTATTCAGGGCGACATACACCTGATGTAGGTCCTATATTGATAACAACAAAGATTAGCTCGTTAACATCATGCAAGCAGACAATAATTACAATTCCTCAGTTTGAGATTGATACGCCACAAATAATGGTAGAAAGATTGTGTTACGCCAGTCCCATAAGGGTGTGCGTGGAAGGACGCTTGCTGCCTAATTTGAAACACTGGTTTTTGTTTTAGCCTGAACGCTGACATTTGTCCGGACGCGATGGAAATGTAATTTTTTTTTCTTAGCCATCAGACGGGTTTTCATTTCTTTATCTGCGCGTGTGTGTGTGTGTGCGCGCGCGCGCAAGTGCGTGTGTGTAGTTGTGGGAGAAGGCCTGTGGCCTTTGAAATCAGCAAACATACCTGAGCTCAAACAATCGTCCCCTTATGTGAGATACAACTATTTTTTAGCCCCACTTAATTCTTCTTGTATTCTTTCTTTATTTGTGTGTGTGTGTGTGTGTGTGTGTGTGTGTGTGTGTGAGTGAGAGAGAAAGAGAAAGAGGGAGGAGTGTGTGTATGTGTGCATGTGTTTTTGTGTGTGTGCACGCGCGTTAAAGAGACAGAGAGAGACTAAAAAGTAAACTGTGCAAGTAAATAGTACAAACAAACGGTATTTTAAAAATACAGCTTTTTAAAATTGAAAGAGACGAATCGGGCAGTTTTTAGATAAAAAGAATAACAATACTCATGGAAATGACTGAACAAAAAAAAACATTATTAGGGATAACATAAATAAAAAAGAAGAAAAAATTAAAGAAAGAAAGAAAGAAAGAAAAAATTAAAGAAAGAAAGAAAGAAAGAAAAAATTAAAGAAAGAAAGAAAGAAAGAAAAAATTAAAGAAAGAAAGAAAGAAAGAAAAAATTAAAGAAAGAAAGAAAGAAAGAAAAAATTAAAGAAAGAAAGAAAGAAAGAAAAAATTAAAGAAAGAAAGAAAGAAAGAAAAAAATTAAAGAAAGAAAGAAAAAAGAAAAATTAAAGAAAGAAAGAAAGAAAGAAAGAAAAAATTAAAGAAAGAAAGAAAGAAAGAAAAATTAAAGAAAAAAGAAAAAATTAAAGAAAGAAAGAAAGAAAGAAAAAATTAAAGAAAGAAAGAAAGAAAAATTTAAAGAAAGAAAGAAGGAGAAAGTGAGAGAAATAAAAATAAGACTTACCCGGACTTAAGCCGGTCATCGAACACATCGTCGTGTTCGGATTCACTGAGATTTCTTTTCATTGTGTAATACAGTTTGATGCTTTGGGGGGGAAACAACAGAAGATAGTCTTTTTTTCTTTTTCTTTTTAACCTTTCCTGGGTCTCTAAACTTTCTATTTCGATTTTGGCTTCTTTTCCTTTTGTCGTTATTTTTTAACAAGTGTAGAAGCAAAAAAAGTGATATATTTTTTGCGTTAAAGTCGTTAGAAAAGAAAGTAAAACGTTTGTCGCTGGTCTGGTGAAAACGTTTGATTTCTTTTCCACCGTGGGAACTGGAATATTTTTAGTGTCCGTCAGATTGATTTCTCTTGAGAAAGCCAATAATTTGACTGTTTGTGACGATGAGAAAATAATTGCAGAAAGAGTTGTGTGATTTAAAAAAAAAAAACGTTTCTTTCTTTTTTGTTTTGTGAACGGTGACGAATTTGCCGCAGTAGTTGAGGAAACTTGTTGTCACTTTGTCTCCAACGGGTGTAGAAATTCAACAAATAATAATAATAATAATAATAATAATAATAATAATAATAATAATTTCTTCTGTGGTAGGTGTTGCAGCTGTTGATTGTCTAAGTTCGTTTTCATTCAAGGTAAGTAAAGATTGCATGTATTTGCGCGTAACATCATTGAAGATTTTTGTCTATTTTCCCCCAAAAAAATAAAATAAAGAAAAAAAAAACTCAAATAAATATAAAAAATAAAATAAAATAAAACTAACGTTGAAATAAAACTAAGTAAAACAAAAAAAAAACAAGTTTCAGTATACAGGAAAAATATGTGTATACACGGGAGATTTGTGAGCTTTTGCGCGTGTCAGCGGAGTGTGTGCTGCTTACGTTCCGACCGTGTGCGTATGACGTATGGCGTGTGCGTATCTTAAACCACTAAACAAGCGAGCCTGACGAAACTTGAAGTCGTAATGACGAAGAACAGTAATAATAATAAATAAATAAATAAATAAATACTATGGCCGACGATCGACCAGCAGCAGGAGGGTTGGCCGTTTTTCTTCTGTAGGGAGGATTTTTGAGAGAGGCAGGATCTAAGTGTTTCCTGTGCTGCGTCCGAGTCCCAACTATGACCAACGTTACCACAGTGTCTCTCATAAAAAATTGGCCGTGTGCCTGTGTACACACCTCCTGTCGGCCGCCTCCAACACACGTCACCAACGCTGCACCAATTTTTCGGCTATATCCGGCCTTTTCATTGGCTGCTGTGGGGGATTAATTAACTTGAATGCGAACGTGGGCCCCGGTGCGTGGATATTCGACTTGCGCGCAGGCCTTACACGCGTATGCTGAGGCGACTGTCTGCTTGTTTAATGGGCCTAAGTGCACGAATGACAGTGAACCTTGCTAACTATCAGCTTTCTGAAGACCCCCCCCCTCAACACACACACGTACACCATCAACCAACTACTTTTACAATCGCTCCAATCCGTTGTGTATAAACTTTTCTTTCTTCCTTTCAACTTTTTTATTCATCTTTCTATTCATACTTGTTTATATTTTTTGTGGGGGTCGGGGTGCACCCCCACCCGGACTTTTAAAGTTCAACTTTTACCCACAGATTTTCTCTGATCGCCTTTAGTTCATTTTTTTTTTTTTTTTTAATTTCCACTTTTTTTATTTGTTGCCTGAATCTTTCTTTGTTAAATGTTTTTCGTAGTTTCATATCTGATTTATTTTGTCTTTCATTCATTTCCACTTTCCGTCTCTCTTTCTGTGACTTTCTTTCTTTCTTTCTTTCTTTCTTTCTTTCTTTCTTTCTTTCTTTCTTTCTTTCTTTCAAGTCTTCCTTTCTTTCTTTCTTTCTTTCTTTCTTTCTTTCTTTCTTTCTTTTCATTCATTCTTTTCTTTTTTTACTCATTCATTTTCCTTTCTCTTTCGTTTGTTTCTCTTAGGAATTCTCTAATTTTTCTTTTCTTTTCTTTTTATCATTCATTCTTTTTGCATTCATTCATGTTTTCTTTCTTTCTTTCATTCTTTTTTCTCTTTCGTTTATTTTATTTATTAATTCTTTTTTCTTTTCTTTCTTTTCTTTCCACCATTCATTCTTTTTTTGCATTGATTCATGTTTTCTTTCTTTCTTTTTTTATTCCTTTTCTCTTTCGTTTATTTTATTTATTAATTCTTTTTTCTTTTCTTTCCACCATTCATTCTTTTTTTGCATTCATTCGTGTTTTCTTTCTTCATCTTTCTTTCTTTCTTTCTTTCTTTCTTTCTTTCTTTCTTTCTTTCTTTGTAATTCATTCATACTTTCTTTTTTCCCATTCATTTTCTCTTTCGTTTGTTTCACTTATTAATTCTTTTTTTTTCTTTCGACGATTCATTCATTTTTTACATTCATTCATCTTTCTTTCTCATCAATTATAAAATTCTTGCTTTTTTCTTTATTTTTTATTCGATTTGTTTCTTTCTGTTTTATCTAGTTATTCATTCATTTTTTTTGTCATTTTTTATTCGTTCATTTACTTTTTCGTTTTTTTTCTTCCATTCATTCGTTCATTTGTTTCTTTTCTTTCATTCATTCATCCAATTTTCTTTCAGTTGTTGTACCCTCCCCTCTTTATTTTTTTCGTTCAGCTATTTTTCTTTTTTGATTCAGATTTCTTTCACGTTTTTTTTTCATACTTTGTCTTTTTTTTCCATTTTGTTTTTTTTTTTTTCAGTCTTTCTTCGTCGTTTACGTCTTTAAGGCTTTTTTTCTTCTTCTTTTTAAAATTTACTTAGATTTTTATTTTAGATTCTCTTTTCTTTTTCTTTAATTTTCTTTGTTAAATTTTCTTTCTTTCTTTCTTTCTTTTTCTTTCTTTCTTTACCTCTGTAAATTTTAACTTTTTAGTTTGTACGCACTTTTTTTCAGTCTAATTTTTATCCCCCGATGAAATGCCTCCTCTTCCTTCTCCTCTCCCTCCTCCTCCTCCTCCTCCTCCTTCTTCTTCTTCTTCTTCTTCTTCTTCTTCTTCTTCTTCTTCTTCTTCTTCTTCTATTTTCATTGTTTTTAAGTCATTTTTTTCACCTTCAATTTGACTTTTTTTTTTAATCCAAGCCTGTATCAACAAACATTAAACATATCCTGACCGAATGCGGTCACCAATTTGATGTGATGCGTGTGTACTCTTTATTTCCATCGACCTTTTCAGCGCCGACCGTCTTTGCTTCATCGGCAAATCATCAATTTCCGAAAAAGAACTTCTTTTTTCCCCACACTATTGGTGCAAAATCATTCATTATCGCACTACCAGACCCGACATGCAACCAATCACAGCTACAGACTCCCATATTTTTTCCCTACGGACGAACATAAAAAAAAAACAAAAAAAATAACCCTAAAACACATCCACAAGAACTTGGCACGCGTCCAAAGGCACACTTACAGACATATACACGCACGTGTGTTATGTATATTGCGTGTATATGCGAGCGTGTGTGTGTATGTGCACACGTGAGTGTGTGTGCACAAGTTGGTGCTTTACTTATCGTTTCCGACACAAAACATTCCGGCTGAAAAACGAGAACAGGACCTTGTATATAAATCTAAAAGATACACCATGATGCTTTACTTCACTTATCCATTCGCCCAGCAAACGATTCTCAAAGTTCGATTGTTTTCTTTTTTGCTTCTTGTGCGAAAATCTGAAAATTCTTTAAGCCGAATTTTTAAAAAAAAATATTTATTTTCTCTTTTTCTGTCATTGTTATAAAAAAAATCTTTCTTTCATACCACCATTTTCTAACTTTCTTCTTTGCTTTCTTTTTGTATTGTTTCATTCATTTGGAACTTCTTTCTTTCTTTCAATTTCTTTCGCATTTTTCTTTGTTTCAACTCTTCTTTCTTTCTTTTTGCTTCTTTCTTTCTTTCTTTCTTTCTTTCTTTCTTTCTTTCTTTCTTTCTTTACTACTCTTTCCCTTTAGAAATACGTTCCTTTCTTTCGTTCTTTCTTTACTACTACCTTTCCCTTTAGAAATACGTTCCATTTTTTCTTTCTTTCTTTCGCCTTTCTTTAATATTCTATTTCTCTTTCTTTCTTTCTTTCTTTCTTTCTTTCTTTCTTTCTTTCTTTCTTTCTTTCTTTACTACTATCTCTCCTTTAGAAATACGTTCCATTTTTTTTTTTCTTTCTTTTTCGCCTTTCTTTAATATTCTATTTCTCTTTCTTTCTTTCTTTCTTTCTTTCTTTCTTTCTTTCTTTCTTTCTTTCTTTCTTTCTTTTTTTTAGAAATACGTTCCATTTTTTCTTTCTTTCTTTCTTTCTTTCGCCTTTCTTTAATATTCTATTTCTCTTTCTTTCTTTCTTTCTTTCTTTCTTTCTTTCTTTCTTTACTACTATCTCTCCCTTTAGAAATACGTTCCATTTTTTCTTTCTTTCTTTCGCCTTTCTTTAATATTCTATTTCTCTTTCTTTCTTTCTTTCTTTCTTTCTTTCTTTCTTTCTTTCTTTCTTTCTTTACTACTATCTCTCCCTTTAGAAATGCGTTCCATTTTTTCTTTCTTTCTTTCGCCTTTCTTTAATATTCTAATTTTCTTTCTTTCTTTTTTTCTTTCTTTCTTTACTACTATCTTTCCCTTTAGAAATACGTTCCTTTCTTTCTTTCTTTCTTTCTTTCTTTCTTTCTTTCTTTCTTTCTTCGATTCTATTCCCCTCTGTTTTCTTTCTTTTGAGCTTTGTTTTAATTCTCTCTTTTTCTTTTCTGTTTTCATTTTTTCATTTTCTTTTCTTTCATTTCTGTTTATTTTTACTTTTTTGTTTGTTCATTTTCTATCATTTTTCTTCTTTCATTCATTTCTTTTTTTTCTCTTTTCTCTTTTATTTTCTCCTTTTTATGTTGTCTTTTTCTTTGTTTTACTTCAGTTTTGTTTTTGCTTTCTTTTTTTCATTCTTTTCTTCTTTATTTTTTTGGGGGTGTTCTCATTCAATGATTCACTATCTTTCCCTTTAGAAATACGTTCCATTTTTAACATTTTTTCTTTCATCTTTCGCCTTTCTTTAATATTCTATTTCTCTTTCTTTCTATCTTTCTTTCTTTCTTTCTTTCTTTCTTTCTTTCTTTCTTTCTTTCTTTTCATTCTTTTCTTTTTTACCCATTCATTTCCTTTTCTCTTTCGTTTGTTTCTCTTAGGAATTCTTTTTCTTTTTTTTCTTTCTTTTCTTTTCTTTCATTCTTTTTTTTTTTGCATTCATTCATGTTTTCTTTCTTTCTTTCTTTTTATTCATTCATTCTCTCCTTTTTCTTTCTTTCTATTCAGGATCTTTTTTCTTAAATAAAAACAAACTTTACTGCTTGTAATTTTTTTGTTTCTATTTCTTTTTTAAATTTGAAATCCTTTGGAAATACAAGAAAATGGTGCCAGAAATTAGTTACGTCTTAAAACTAAAAGTAACCAAAATGTTTGTACGTTGAAGTTGAATTTAAAACCCGACAACATTTTTGTCATCATTAAACGTACTTATTGTGACTCGTATAAAGATATCAATAATAACATTACAGAATACCGAGGAGGGTGCTGAGGAGGCTTGTTGTCACTGTTGTCTCCACTGAAAGTCACAAGATGCTACTAGTGTGAAAATTTAGTACAGTGTAACCCGGATATAAGAGAGTTGTCGGGACCGGAGAAGTATCTTATATCCGGGTTTGGTTTATTTTGTTTAGGTAAGTATGGGCTCTAATTTGGGACCAGAGAAAATCTCTCTTATATCCGGGTTTCCCTTATATCCGGGTTACACTGTATATACAAAATAATAATAGATAATATAGACATAACATTATCTGGAACACTGAGATTTAACCTGGTCGCCCATTCCAGGCCAGCAAACCAGATCTAGTAATCTCAAACAAAGATCTGCTAAAAAACAAATTAAATAAAGTGAAAAGTTAAAAAAAAGAAAAAAAGAAAAAGATTTGACGTTTCCAGAGAACAGTACAGGTCACAGAACATGAAGGTGACAGTTGTACCCATACTTACTGGAACACTTGGAACAGTCTCGAAGAACCCTTGTAAAGAGATTAGGAGAACTGGAAATCCGAGTGCGAATTAAAACAACGGTAATACTAAAATCATTTTTTTAAATACTAAAGTTCACAAAAGGCACGGGAGCCACTGAAGGTAGAGGATTACTGAATGACTTGTGTGATATCAATGAATGGTAGGAAGTTATGATTTTCAGGATAAAGAGGATAGGATAGATAACGACTGGTCCTTGACTTAAAGAGATTAAGATTTTAGTATTCAGGGAAGCATCCACGCGGGAGTATGTTCCATAAAGTAGCAAATGTGAAAGAGGGAACTGTATTTAGGAGACTTGTTGCCACTTGATCACCAGGGAAATACGTTAGATATGAAAAAATTTCAATGAGTAACATGAAGTGGATTGATCCAAATCTCAAATGGATATGATAAAAGAAGGGCTGATATTCTGTCCGTCACACACTGCATGTGACTTAGTAAACGCGTATGTGAAGTAAATGCGACCCAGTGCTGATAGCAGACACGGAAAGGAAATTACAAAAACTCCTATAGAAGGTAGCAAAGGAGAGCCTGAAGAAGGGACTAAGCATAAACTACAAGAAAACAGAATGCATGGTCATCAGGAAAAAGATGAACCCGAAATGCGATTTGCAGGTCGGGGATACTAAAATCAAGCAGGTGCGGAAATTTAAATATCTGGGAAGTGTTTTCACACAGAACGGCGAGTACGACGCTAAGAGCCAAAGACGCATACCAAAAGCTAGGCAGAGTATGACGAGACAGGAGGATTTCTTTGGTAACAAAAAAAAAATGAGTACTGAGCTGCTACGTGATATATGTCCTCCTTTACGGCAGCGAATGTTGGACAGTCTCCTCAAAGATGAAGAAGAGCCTCGAGGCGACTGGGATCCGTAGACGAATTGGGATGGCCAAGGAAGCATTCCAAAAACTAGACAGAGTATTACGAGGCAGGAGCATTTCTTTGGTAACAAAGAAAAGAGTACTGAACTGCTACGTGACATCTGTCTTTCTTTACGGCAGCGAATGTTGGACAGTCTCCTCAAAGATGAACAAGAGCCTCGAGGCGACTGGGGTCCGTAGACGTATTGCGATGGCCAAGGACGCATACCAAAAGCTAGGCAGAGTATGACGAGACAGGAGCATTTCTTTGGTAACAAAGAAAAGAGTACTGAACTGCTACGTGATATATGTCCTCCTTTACGGCTGCGAATGTTAGACGGTCTCCTTAAAGATGAAGAAGAGACTCGAGGCAACGGAGGTATGGTTTTACAGAGGGATGTTAAGGATACCATGGACCGAACATGTAAGCAAAGATGAGGTCTTGGAGAGGATGCAGACAAAGAGGAAACTTATACTTAACATCAGGAAGAGGCAGTTGAAATTTCTGGGACACGTAATGAGAAAAGAGGGCTTGGAGAATTTGGTACTCACAGGGCGGATAGAGGGAAAGAGAGACAAGGGAAAGCAATGCATGACATACCTGGTGGGTTTAAGCAAGTGGATGACAGAACAGGGTCTGGAAGAAGTAGCAAAGGGACAAAAGTTATTGAGAGCTACAAGGGATAGGAGAAAGTGGAGGGCCATGATCGCCTACGTCCTGAACATAAAAGAAGTAAGAAGGAACAGAAAAAATATCGTTAATAACAAAGGGAAGAGCAATGAGCGTAATGTGAAAGAGGGGCTTGGAGAATCTGATACTCACAGGGCGAATAGAAGGCAAGAGAGACAAGGGAAAGCAACGTGTGACATACCTGGCAAGTGAATGACGGAACAGAGTTTGGGAGAAGTAGCAAAAGGACAAAATATATTGAGAGGGATAGGAAGAAGTGGAGAGCCATGATCGCCTACGTCCTGAAGGGACACGGCACATAAAAGAAGAAGTAGAAGAAAGTAAATGCGGATGTCTGCGTTGTGTGTGAGTGACTTAATGTACACATAAGCAAATGCACGCACACTTACAAGCAATTTGACGGAGTTTTAAGCAAGACAGTGGAATAATGAATTTTCCTCACACTCAGTCTGGACAACCCAACCCTGGGCTGGTATTGGTAAACGAAACTCCTCTTATTTGAGTATTTCTGCTCATTTTTGTCCGTCCTGGGTATGACGATAAATTACATCCGACAGCAAGACCTCTGATCAAGAGATTTGAGCAGCGTGGAAACACCTTTTAATTGCTGGTGTTCCCAGGTCAACCCTGACCTGGGTTGGTAGCACCTCGCTGGGTCCCAGTTATGGGCAAATAGTTAACCTCGCAAAAAGGGATCAAAACACTATGAAAGCATGAAAATAACAGCAATACTTTTTTGGAAAAAATATGACTAGCAGTATATATTATATATATATATATATATATATATATATATATATATATATATATATATATATTACCAGCAATACATTTTTGGAAAAAAAAAAAAATAATACCAGAAATAAAAATCTTGTCGGCATTAAATAACCCATTGAAGTTGATATGCCATAAAACAAAATAAACCAAACCAAACTGATTTCTTACAAAGAATACATATTCTATTCATACGAACCTATCCTATAAATCTTGTCGGCATTAAATAACCCATTGAGGTTGATATGCCGTAAAACAAAATCAACTAAACCAAACTGATTTCTGACAAAGAATACATATTCTATTCATACGAACCTATCCTAAAAATCTTGTCGGCATTAAATAACCCATTGAGGTGTTTGATATGTCGTAAAACAAAACAAACCCATACCAAACCTCGTTTGTGTTTGGTAGGTATATTTTCCCCTTCATATAGGTCTTTTGTTGTTTTCTGTATAAGTTGATCACTTTTAATAATTCTGGTATGTTTGTTTGTTTTTTTTTAATTCGGCTATAGTGTGGTTATTTTAGTTTTTAATTTGTCCCCAGCGACGTCCTGCGGCGACTTGATGGTCACCCTACTAGAGTCATCTACCAGTTCGAATATGTACACTGGTGACGACCTCGCAGCAGAACAGGCAGCCGCCGGAAGGACGTCGTCCGCCAGGACCTTCACTAGATTAATCTGGTTCTGGAGGATGTTCAGACACACTACCAAAACAGTGAGAGTCCCAGGGGTGTGCATGTGGCGGGTGGACAAAGGTGATTTTCCTGGGCTCAACATGACATGAGATTCAGTATGGGCAACAACAGTCTGTGTTTCCTTGAGTTCTATGTAAAGTGGAAAAACTGGTCTCTGGTGTGTATAGTTTAGAGAGTTTAAACAGGGGTCCATACAAAAAATAGAAATTCGGTGTTCACGGTAATATTTTAGTGATCCATAGAGCAATTTCACTTCGGAATGTTTGATAGAAATGAGATTTGGAATTTCTGCAGTAATCTACGTCATTAAAATACTAAAAACAAACAAAAAAAAAAACAACTCTAAAACTAACAGAAAACGAAATCAAGCGATGTAGAATAGCGTCCCTTTTGCTCTACCGGATGTTTTGATTGTAAAAGGTGAATAAAAAACTGAAAAGGAACGATTTTATATATATATATATATATATGTTTTGAACAATAAAAAGTATTAAAAAATTAAAATCTTTAGACACACTGCGTTGTATATCAATATTTTTTGTTTTAGTATATATAAAGGAAGGATTATATATAATATATATATATATAAAGAAACGATTATATATATGTTTCGAACAATAAAAAGTATTAAAAATTAAAATTTTTAGACACACTGTATATCAATATTTTTTTTTTTTTTTTGTATATATATATA